AATTCTGAATGATTATGTTGGGATCAATAACCCACTCCTTAGAAGAGGGCATGTGGGTTGTGGCTCTTGACATGAAAGGTGCTTATTTTTGTGTAGACATTCATCAGTGCCCACAGAAGGTTCCTTGGGTTTCTGGTAAGACAAGAACACTACTAGTTCAGAGTACTTCTGTTTGGACTAGCCACAGCGTCCTGGGTCTTCACAAAGGTCTTCTCAGTAGTGGCAGCTGAGGTGAGACAACATGGTTACACCATGTTCCCACACCTGGACAGTTGGCTGCTAATGGGCAAATCCAGACAGGAAGTCCAATCAGCAACCATATTTTTATTCAGTCTCCTGGCATCCTTGGGAGTCTGCATCAACAAAGAAAAGCACTTTGACTCCCACAAGCACTATATACTTTATAGAGATGACCCTAGATTTGATCTCAGCCGTGGCCTACCGACCTATGGAGAGATTCCATGCCATGAACAACTTGAAAAGAAAAGTCACTCTCAGTCCTCAAACCATAGTCAAGGTCTGTCTTTCCCTACTAGGACACATGACCTGGTGTACTTAAGTAACTCCGTTTGCCAGGCTCCATCTCCATAATCTGTAGGTCTAACTCTGATCTGTTTACTCTCCAGACAGAGACAACATGAACATCAAGGTAACAGTTCCCTCCAAGGCTGTTCTCTTGACCACAGCAAGTGCATGTGGGACTATCTTTCATTGCACCCACACTAAATGTGACCATTATCATGGATGCATCCCTCATAGGATGGGGATCCCAGATGGACTCTCCAGGTTGCATATCTATCTATTAGAGCTGAGAGTAGTCCCCCTAGCCTGCAATGCACTCCTTCCACTTATTTGGTCCCACCATATCCAGGTAATATTAGATAACATAATGAGTATATTCTACATAAGCAAACCGGGTGGAGCAAGATCCCTTCTCTGTGTGTAGAGGCAGCCAACTTATGGAATGGGTGCATTAGAAACTGCAAAACACTCTTGACCACATACCTACTAGGTGCACAGAATTCTCTGGAGGACAATCAGCAGACACTTCTCCACAGACCACAAATGAGAGTTACACAGTTCCATCCTGAAAAAGATTTTCACCAATAGGGAATGCAATCCTAGGACCTGTTTGTCTCACAGACAAACAAGAAATTCATCCATTATTTCTCCAGAACAGGTCTGGGCAGGGATCTAAGAGTGATGCCCTTCCATTATTCTGGACAGACCACCTGAGGTATGCCTTTCCTCCCATTCTACTATTGCTCCAGGTGCTGTGAAAGATTCACCACAACAAAGCTAGAGTCATTCGCATCACACCCAAGTGGCCCAGACAATTCTGGTTCCCAGAGTTGATGTGGATATCAATCTACCCTCCCATTGCCATGTGATCCTTCCTGGAACTGATGACCCAGGAAAATGGCAAGACTAGACACCCCAAACCAGGCCCTCTCTGCCTCACAGCCTGGTATTTAGATGGACATCAGACTTGGAGAGTTCATGTTCAGAGAACGTTCAATCCATTCTTAATCAAAGCGAGTAAGAATCAACCAGGAAATGCTATTTGGCTAAATGGAAACATTTCTCCACTTTCATGCAAAAGAACCATTTGTCCTCAGAGACGGAGAGTACTCCTGCTATCCTAGACTACATCCTTCACCTCAGGAAGTTGCACCTTCTGTTAATTGACTGCACGTCCAACTAGCAAGAATTAGTGCCTTCTGTCCTTCAGTGGATGACTATACTGTTTTTTCTCGCTCAACAACCCTCAGATTCCTGAAAGGCTTCACTGGAGCCTTCCAGCTGATAATGAAACCAACACCACAGTTGGACCTCAAGCTTGCACTTTTCTGCTCTTGAAGAAGAAATGAATGTTACTTACCTGTAACTAGAAGTTCTTTGAGATATGTCATCCCTATCTGTATTCCATGACCCACTCTCCTTCCCCTCTGCTGCAAATCTTATCTGATTCATGGTGAGAAGAGGGACTGGAGAGGTATCAGTTCACACTGCCCCTTATTCCCTTATTTCAGAACACAAGGAAAACAACTGTGCAGGTGTGGAACAACGGACACTGCTTTCAACAAATCTCTAATCTCAGGTACATGGAATGCAAGCATACCCACATGTGGAATACAGATAGGGACTACACAATGAAGTAACAGTAAAGTAACCTCCATTTATGTCAGAGCTGGACCATGGCACCCCTGTGAAACATAAGCATCCATTATGAATAGTCCAGTAGCCTGAATGTTCTTGAATGAGATCTCTGACCTCCACCTAAACAAAGCTCATGGACATTACCTGCTCACACCAATGTTTGTATGCTAGGTTGACAGTGTACCTACTCACTGTACCTGGTCACCATCAACTAATGAAGGTTCTGGGCATAGAAGGAAGTAGAGGGATAGTGTGAATAATATTGAAAATGTATTTGTTCTGTAGGAAATCCTTTTTTCTGAGTCAGCAGTGAGGCATTGGAACCATGCACTTGATCACACTTTTTGGCACCTGTGTCAAAAAAAGGAAAATATGAACAGATTGAAAGGTTCCCATATTGCCCAGGTGACAAACTGCTTAGGAAGGAGTCACAGAGGCAGATAGCTGCATTAGCAGAACATGAAGTCTGCATTATTTTAGTACCTTGCATGAAAAAAGAACAGATATCTAACATGGCAAAAGGCACTTCATGCCTGCCAGCCCAGCAAGTCATACTGCAGTAGGCACTGTGAAAACCATGAGACTACCTAGGTAGTCATTATCTAGAGTATGTTATTCCCATATGAATATCAGCATATAGCAGACTATGGCTCCCTTGTCAAACTGAGCTACAAAGGAGTGAATCCTGTAGATCCTGCTGAGCCATCTACATCCTGAGAAAAATGGATGCCATAACTTCAGGATAATACCCACATTGGTCCCACAACATTTTTGAGATTTTGTATATGTTGTTTCTACCTCTGAGCCACTCCTGGTTCTTTGGGGCACAGTTAGAGGAAAGAGGATAGAAGACAGGTCATCTAACTGCTCAGATCCCAGAGCCTGGCTATATATTATAAAAAGGAGTAAAATAGGCAAACTGGAGGAATGCATGTTTCTGTTTAATGAGGGACTTTGGTATTTGCCAGTGAGACAGTGATATCCCCCCCCCCCTCGTGTGTTACGGCAAAGTTTTTCACGAGTATGCACACCTCTATCATTATAATGCAACATCATGGGAAAAATCCACATCTCTGCACTGGGCCTGAATAGCAAATGTGGAATTATAAATGAAGAGGGAACAAATCCTCCCCGAATCTTTAGCCCGGTGGTGGGCAACTTGCGGCCCACGGGCAGCACGCGGCCCATCAGGGTAATCCGAGGGCGGGCCACCAGACAGTTTGTTTACATTTGCACGGCCGCCCGCAGCTCCCAGTGGCCGCAGTTTGCCGTTCCCGGCCAATGGGAGTTGCGGGAAGCGGCGCGGGCCACAGGGACATGCTGGCCACCGCTTCCCGCAGCTCCCATTGGCCGGGAACGGTAAACTGTGGCCACAGGGAGCTGCAGGCAGCCGTGCAAATGTAAACAAACTGTCTGGCGGCCCGCCCGCGGATTACCCTGACGGGCTGCAGGTTGCCCACCACTGCTTTAGCCTGTGGAGCCATACTACAACCCCTCTTGGAGCCCTCAGACCTTTGTGCCCATAATCTACAGAAGCAATCCATGTGCAATGGTGAATCTGCAGATCCACCATTCCCCCATCATTGTTCCTAACTTAGTTCTACTTCATCTAAGGGCTGGGGGACAGGAAGTCGGGGGACAAGAAGTCACGTGTAACAGAACTCTGCAGTGCCCAGAGGATGCAGGCCCCAAATCCTCCCATCTTCTACTTACCTCATGGTTCAACTGTGGACTTCACCAAACTTATGGGCACAATAAAAGGAGTAAAGTAGTCAGGGGACACTGCCAGAGCCTGGAATAGGAGCTCTGTGGAAGCACTGTGGAACAGAAACTGTTCACCTCAGAATCAGACTTAAATTCTTTGGTAGTTAAGCCACATGAAACTGAATGAGGCTTTAATTCAGAGCACAGATGCTTTTACCCAAATAGAGTCCTTATCTTTCCTAATTTTTTGCTGGATGTCATACTTACTCATTTTGTTTTGGAAGTAAATGGCCACACTTTAGACATTGTGACTGCTTTGAAAGTACAGGCCAGTTTTTAAACTTTAATGAAGTTCCCATTTTGCTTAGAAGGAAATTAACTATTTGGGGCTGTCTTTACTGAGGCTTATGGGGGTACTGAGCCTTTAGATGTAACTCTTTAGGGACAGGAGTCAGAATTTCTTCATGCAATGCACTGATGAAAAATAATTATGAACAATAATACATGCTTTACACTTATCCCAAATCTAAGACTACATTACATTACATTACAAATCATTAACTAATTGAACCTCACAAAATCCCTGTGAGGTTGATCAATAGTAATATTACCATTTTATGGCTAGGTAAGATAAGGCACAGACAGACTAAGGAACTTGCATCAAGGTCACGTAATGAATGAGTGGTGGAGTTGGAAATTGAACCCACCAGTCCTGACTCCCATTCCACTTCTCTAATGACTAACACTCAACCTCTCTTATCTTATTGCAGAAACTCAAAATATGTCGACCATAAAGGGGATAATAAACTAAAATGTCAGGCCCTCATTAAAATCATGTATATTTCTACATCAATCCCAGAATAGTTTACTGGAAAAAATAGTTCTCTAATAAATTAGCAATACCGTTTCTTAGGGTTCAGTAGACAATTGACAGATGTTTTCCCCCCATAGAGATCTCCTGAAAATGTATATCAAAAGCAGGGGGAGGGGGGAAGCACAGATAAATTAGAAACAGCACTTTTATTCAGCAGAGGGCACTGTAAATAGTGGGGGAAAGTGAATAAAAATAATAATTAGAAATCTGTGAAGTATGATATTGCTTTTCCACAAGGATTTTACTTTTGCTTTCTGTTCAGAGTCTTTGGACACATCAGTTATCGTTCAGACTGGGAGCTGGTGAAAGTAGACTTCAGACCATCTTTCCCTAGGGAGTGCACAGAAGATGACTATGAATCTTGGGACCTCACAGATCTACAGGTACTGGACACACAACGATCTTGTATTAATAATATGTAGCGCTTATGTAATGCTTTGATATTCATTGTACTGCATAAACATTCACTAATGAGTGTGGATTTCAGCACCCAGCTTTGACAACCCCAGAGTGATTTTCGGAAGGATGAAAATAGTCCATTGCAGTTTTTATCAGTGACTTCAGAATGGCTTAGTCATTGTACAGGAGATAGAGTTTGTGTTTCTTTTATTACCTAAACTGGGCTGGGGAAGGAGGAAATATACTTACTTGCCACAGTAATAGGTGGTCGTGATGGATTGTGAAAAGTTAGACACACACTGGAAATTACAACCCATCTCACTGATTGAAGCAATTTGAACATGCAGTTACATGTTCTTCCAACTTCTCAACCAGGCACTCTACTCTTATGTAAAGCACCAGAAGTAATTCCAGAATCTCAGTGGACTAATCATGTATTAGAGTCCAGTTGTTTTGGGCAATACAGTTCTGTACTAATGCATTAATGCTATGTTTATCCCAGTATCCTGGCAAAATTTAATTTTTGGCAACTACATTCTCTGTAGTATTCCCTTTATAGTGTATTGTTTGTATAGAGCACTTTGTGATCCTTTTGGATTAAATTAGATATATCCCTGTTTGTCATGATGCTCACTGTCATTGTTATTTTTACTCTCCTCCCTGTGAATTTATTCCCTTTTCTCTATCTGTGCCTCTTTCTCTAGGTTTCTTCTTCATCTGACATTCTGTATTATTTCAACCAAACTTTCCTTCAGCACTTACTCATTGGATACATTATCACTACTGCTATACTCCTCCTCACCTGGAGCATGCTATGTGTGTGCTTAGAATGTAACATAGCCCCTAGCCTTAACAAGAAAAGTACATTGAGACAGTGAAATTACACCTCTCCATGGAGTTTCAGAAACTGGAAACTACTGAAACTATTTTAAAAATTGATGGAGTATTTAAAAATACCCACTTACCAGTACAGTAAGCAGGACCGGCGCTTCCACTAGGCAACCCTAGGCGGTCGCCTAGGGTGGCAGGATTTGGGGGGCGGCATTTTGCCGCCCTCAGCAGAAATTTGGTGGCGGGGGGTCCTTCCACTCTGGGTCTTCGGCGGAAATTCGGCGGTGGGTCCTTCACTCGCTCCGGGACCCGCTGCTGAAGTGCCCTGAAGACATGGAGCGGAAGGACCCCCGCTGCCGAATGCTCAGAGGAGGAGCGCTGCCGCCTAGGGCGGCAAAAACCCTGGTGCCGCTCCTGACAGTAAGTGTTTAAGTGACCATTCTCCAGGCAAAAGTACCTGAGCTGTGCATATAACTGCAGAATTAGGGCCACAATTACCCATACATTTTTAATGCATATCCTTAGACTTCTGCCTTTTAGAAAAAATATCTGGAGAAGATTACTCTGTTTTCCATATTTGG